TAGGTTGAGAGATGTAGGCTCCCTCTGTCTGCCTGCTGCTCCAGGTCAATCACAGAAATGCAGCCATCTGGGGCCAGGGATATCATTATTAAGGTTTTAGTCTAATGCAGGCCATAGATGGGTCGAAAATCAGCTGATTTTTTCTTTAAAAAAACGAAAAATCAGTCGTTCAAGTCCGATTTTCATCCCGTCTACAGCCGGCAAAAAGTGTCCCTGCAGAGAGCTCCGCTATTTCTTTGACAGTGCTTTGACATTTATAGCGGTTGCAACGATGTATCTATTTGTATCCATTTAGGATACAGATGTTTTTATTCAGAAACAAATAGATACAATGTTGCAACCGCTATAAATGTCAGGGAACTGTCAAAGAAATAGCGGAGCTCTCTGCAGGGACACTTTTTGCCGGACTGGAATTCCTCTTCTTCTTCATCCTCTTCTTCCTCTTCCTCTTCTTCTTCCTCTTCTTCATCCTCTTCTTCTTCATCTTCCTCTTCTTCTTCATCCTCTTCCCCTTCTTCCTTCATCCTTCTTCTTCTTCATCCTCTTCTTCATCCTCTTCTTCTTTCTTCATCCTCTTCTTCATCCTCTTCTTCTTCATCCTCTTCTTCTTTTTCATCCTCTTCTTCTTCATCCTCTTCTTCTTCTCTTCCTCTTCTTCTTCTTCTTCATCCTCTTCTTCTTCTTCCTCTTCTTCATCCTCTTCTTCTTCCTCTTCCTCTTCATCCTCTTCTTCTTTTTCTTCTTCTTTTTGTCTTCCTCTTGCAGGTCACTGCTCATGCGCAGATGTTTTTTATCGGTAAAAAGATCGGCCAATTTGCCCATAATTGCCGCGAAAATCAGCCAATCAGCAAAATCGATTTTTTTCCAACTTTACCGATAAAAAAAAATCTGCCAAAATACCGACAAACGGCCAAACAATTAGCCCACTAACGATCCGAAAATCGGCCGATTTTATTTTCGACCCATCTATGGCCTGCTTAAATGTCAGGGACACATTCTTTTAACAATTAAATTGGGGACATTTTTTGTTTTACCCTATGTTATGGTAACTGCTCCCCCACTTTGGAGAATCTTCCTCTCACTTTCTATTGTGTCTACAGGACAGGAAGTGAGATGAAGTCTGCCCAACAGGACACAAATGGTATAGGAAAATCTGACGAGGTTTTAACCACTCTTTACACTATGCAAAACCAGAGCCAACAATTTTACAGCCAAAATACCACCAAAACATACAGTACATGAATAACAGTAAAATATTCCTCCTGAAATGTATCAAACCTGAAAAGTATCCTGGCAATGTGGAAGGGTTACAACACAGGTGTACAATTAACAGTTATTACCCCATCCCCAAACAAGCTTGAGGGAAAAAACTTTGGCTATAACCACCCACCCCACCCCTTACAATTTTTTTTATTATTGCTTTTTTCAGGTTAAATACATTTCAGGAGCAAACTTTACTGTTATTCATGTATGTTTCGGTGGTGTTTTGGCTGGTTTTGCATTAGAGTACAGATTGGTTAAAAACCCCGTCAGATTTTTCCTCTGCCATTTGTGTCCTGTTGGGCAGACTTCACTTCCTGTCCCTATAGTCACAACTAGAAAGTGGGAGGAAAATTCTTCAAAGTGGTGAAAAATCCTTTAAACAGCAGTTACTGTAACATAGCGTTCCGGGATCAGTACCCGATTTTAGGGACAAAATGTCCAAGATTTAAAAGAACAATCCCTGACTTCTAAACTAAAGCCTTAATAATGGTATCCCTGGTCCCAGATGGCTGCAACATACTCCATCTTGGCAACATTTCTGCGATTGACCTGGGCAATCTGCGTGACCTAGGTAGGGGAGGAGTATATCTGCTTCCAACTGTGTCTGAGGTTATTGATAATATCATATGCCGATATTATGTGGTCTTTCTAGTTTCAACTTGTTCACACTTTGTTGCGAAGGGAAGGGTAATTAATTGTTTGCCCCCCCCCCTGGCCTTGCTTGTAATTGTGATCTACAGTGCACACCTGGGCCTGCACTCTTGACCCAGAGCAAAGCAGGCTGAGGTGCTTCACATACTGTTATTATCCCCACCTATTGCTTCGCCCCTGCCTCATTCCCAATAAACGTAGGTGTGGTCCGTAAGGTTTCCCCTGATTATATTTTGAAAATCTGGTCAACTTTTTGTAGCAGGTTTTCTTGCTAAAAATATTTCTCTTTGATTTCTGTTCTGGTGATAAATTTTTGGTTTTCACTTAACTTTCTGTCCCAATGACAGTAGTAGAGATGGAGCGAATCGAACTGGCGAAGTGGAATTCGTTTTGAATATCAGGAAAAAATTTCGATTCGCGCCGAATCCGAAAATTAGCAAACTTCAGATGCACGAATCGAATTTTCCCAAAAATGGCGGCGACATGTGTGGCGATGGAGCGGGGATCTCTGGGAAGGTGCGCAGACAAGGCGCGCTGACCCATAATGCATTCATTCATGACATGTGATCGCATTAGCCAATCAGCAGCCAGCAGCCAGCACTGTGTAATGGTGGAGCTATAAATTGCGGCCATCTTTAAAATTCTTCCATTAGCCTCCTCACCCGGTCATTCAAGAGGAGGACAGACCTGTCTGTATTAGTGGACAGAGTTAGGGCCAGAGAGACTTTAGGGGCCACAGAATCGTTACTTAGGGACACAGAATCGTTACTCAGGGACACAGAATTGTTACTCAGGGACACAGAATTGTTACTCAGGGACAGAAACAGAATTGTTACTGAGGGACACAGAATTGTTACTCGGGGACACAGAATTGTTACTGAGGGACACAGAATCGTTACTTAGGGACACAGAATTGTTACTCAGGGGACACAGAATTGTTACTCAGGGACAGACACAGAATTGATACTGAGGGACACGAATTGTTACTCAGGGACAGACACAGAAATTGTTACTGAGGGACACAGAATTGTTACTGGGGACACACAGGAATTGTTACTCAGGGACACAGAATTGTTACTCAGGAGGGACACAGAATTGTTACTCAGGGACACAGAATTGTTACTCAGGGACACAGAATTGTTACTGAGGACAGTACACAGGAATTGTTACTCAGGGACACAGATTGTTACTCAGGGACACAGAATTGTTACTGAGGTACACAGAATTGTTTACTCAGGGACACAGAATTGTTACTCAGGGACACAGAATTGTTACTCAGGGGACACAGAATCGTTACTCAGGGACACAGAATTGTTACTCAGGGACACAAAATCGTTACTCAGGGACACAGAATTAGTTACTCAGGGACACAGAATTGTTACTCGGGGACACTTCCTCAGAATTGTTACTCAGGGACACAGAATCGTTACTCAGGGTACACAGAATCGTTACTCAGGGACACAGAATTGTTTACTGAGGGGACACAGAATCGTTACTCAGGGACACAGAATTGTTACTCGGGGACACAGAATTGTTACTCAGGGACACAGAATTGTTACTCAGGGACACAGAATTGATTTACTCAGGGACACAGAATTGTTACTCGAGGGACACAGAATGTTACTCAGGGACACAGAATTGTTACTCAGGGACACAGAATTGTTACTGAGGGACACAGAATCGTTACTCAGGGGACACAGAATTGTTACTCAGGGACACAGAATTGTTACTGAGGGACACAGAATCGTTACTCAGGGACACAGAATCGTTACTCGGGGACACAGAATTGTTATCAGGGACACAGAATCGTTACTCAGGGACACAGAATTGTTACTCGGGGGGGACACAGAATTGTTACTGAGGGACACAGAATCGTTACTGAGGGACACTGATTTGTTACTCAGGGGACACAGAATTGTTACTCAGGGACACAGAATTGTTACTCAGGGACAGACACAGAATTGTTACTCAGGGACACAGAATTGTTACTCAGGGACAGACACAGATATTGTTACTCAGGGACACAGAATTGTTACTCAGGGACACAGAATTGTTACTGAGGGACACAGAATCGTTACTGAGGGACACAGAATTGTTACTCAGGGACACAGAATCGTTACTCAGGGACACAGAATCGTTACTCAGGGACACAGAATTGTTACTCAGGGACACAGAATTGTTACTCAGGGACACAGAATTGTTACTGAGGGACACAGAATCGTTACTCAGGGGACACAGAATCGTTACTGAGGGATACAGAATTGTTACTCAGGGACACAGAATTGTTACTCAGGGACACAGAATTGTTACTCAGGGACACAGAATTGTTACTGAGGGACACAGAATCGTTACTCAGGGACACAGAATCGTTACTCAGGGACACAGAATCGTTGAATTAAAGAGTATGCCAGACAACACGCAGAGGAGTGGCAGAGGAGGCAATGTTTCAGGAGCGAGCAGACGTGGCAGCAGAGGAAGGGGTTCGAGGCAGCACTAGTTGCAGCCAGTAGGGCCAGTGCTCCCGGTGTCATCCAGCGGTCGTGTCTCCACCGACAACCCTGCCGTCATCGATTGTTTGGCTCGGTCGTCTTCCTCTTCCCAGGTCACCTCTGACACCTACAGCCAACGGTCGGTGGGTACGTCAGACACAACCGTTAGTTGGCATGGCCCGGGAGCAAGCCCCACTGAAATCACGTGTTGTCCTCTACCTGCCCCTGTCCTTTGGTGTTCCCTCACCAAGCGAAGTATCGCATGCTGTGGGCTCAGCCCCATCTGTACAGTGAGGAAGAGCTACAGAGGGTGGTCAGGAACGGGGGGAGACATCCGCCTCTTCAGCAGCCAGGCGAAGAAGTACTGGCGAGGAGAGTGGCTCGGTAGCCGGTCTAGAGACAGGTCTGTCTCCTGACCCACACGCAGCGAGGGGGCTAGTAGTGAGGCGGAGACCCTAATTGATGATGATGAGGCTGATCGCACTTGGCAGCCTCGTCGTCATCTGCCAGGCCCGTAATCTGCCATGGGCCCCCGTACCGACTCCTCATGCTGCTGCCAGGCCCGTAAATCTGTCATGGGCCCCTGTACCGCCTCCTCATGCTGCTGCCAGGTCCAGAGTGTGTCATGGGTCCTGTACGGCCTCCCATTGCTGCTGTCTCCATCGCCACACTCTGCCATGTGCCACTTTCAGGTCTCCTCACACTGCTGGTGGGGTTCCATTTTGTCATAGGGTGCTGGCAGATTACGGGCCTCCCATTGCTGCTGCCAGGCCCGTAATCTGTCATGGGCCCCTGTACCGCCTCCTCATGCTGCTGCCAGGTCCAGAGTGTGTCATGGGTCCCTGTACGCCTGGCCTCCATTGTTCCTGCTCCTCCCATTCTCCAGGCCCGTAATCGCCACACTCTGCCTCATGTGCCACTTTCAGGTCTCCTCACACTGCTGGTGGGTTCCATTTTTGTCATAGGGTGCTGGCAGATTACGGGCCTCCCATTGCTGCTGCCAGGCCCGTAATCTGCCAGAGTGTGTCATGGGCCCCCGTACTCTCTGCCATGTGCTCCTCATGCTGCTGCCAGGCCCGTATTGCCATTGGGCCCCGTACCGATCTGTGCTGCATGGGCCCCTGTATGGGCCCTGCCTCCTCATGCTGCTGCCAGGTCCAGAGTTGTGTCATGGGTCCCTGTACGGCCTCCCATTGCTGCTGCCAGGCCCGTAATCTGCCATGGGCCCCTGTACCGCCTCCTCTTGCTGCTGCCAGGTCCAGAGTGTGTCATGGGTCCCTGTACGGCCTCCATTGCTGCTGTCTCCATCGCACACACTCTGCCATGTGCCACTTTCAGGTCTCCTCACATGCTGGTGGGTTCCATTTTGTCATAGGGTGCTGTATGGCCTCCCATTGCTGCTGCCTCCACCGCCACACTGTGGCTCCACACTCTGGTTTTGGCCCCGTGACTTGCCCAAATGAGTGAAGTGTGCGGGTGATTCTAAGATCGACGGCACTCATCTGCATGTCATACTGACTGACAGTATTATTTCTCTTCCCCAGCAGACTCCAAGGGCATTTAAATTAAAGGTACAGTGTTCTGCACTAATATAAAGGCTCTCTGAAGCTAGAAACACACCCTTTTTATAAGTTTAATTCGCAGCGAATATATTCGACTTGAATCGAATTTATTCCGCGAATTCGCCGAATCAGCCGAATCGAATTTTTGAATAATTCGCTCATCTCTAGACAGTAGTCACATAGATTAACTCTCCCCCAGTGGAGTCACAGAAAAGCAATGGTACCCTGACAAAAGTTCTAACCCCTCCACACTCTATCCAACAATACAGAAAAAGTCACGGATTTAGATAGTGTAGTCATTTACTTCAGGGGTAAGCTCCAAACCTTCTAACCAAAGGGCTAGTTTACTGTTCTTCAGACTTTAGGGAGCTGAACAGTGGCCAGTGGGAGTAGAAAAGGTGTCGGCTTCAGTGGGAGTAAACGATGTCCTATCCTTGACATTAGAGGAAGAATAGTGCCCCATTGTTGGTGTCATTGGTAGGAATAGTACCCATCACTGATGTCATTGGGAGGAATTGTGCCCCACCATTGGTATCAGTGGGAGGAATAGTATCTCACTGTTGGTATCAGTGGAAGGAATAGTGCCCCACCATTGGTATAGGTGGGAGGAATAGTACCCCACTATTGGTATCAGTGGAGGGAATAGTACCCCACCGTTGGTATCAGTGGAAGGAATAGTGCCCCACCATTGGTATCAATAGTGCCCCACTGATGGTATCAGTGGAAGGAATAGTGCCCCTCTGTTGGAATCAGTGGAAGAACTAGTGCCCCATGATTGGTATCAGTGGGGGAAATAGTGCCCCACCATTGCTATAAGTGGGAGGAATAGTACCCCACTGTTGGTATCAGTGGGAGGAATAGTACCCCACTGTTGGTATCAGTGGAGAGAATAGTGCCTCTCCGTTGGTATCAGTGGGAGAACTAGAGCCCCAAAGACCTTATAAATGCAAGCAAAGGGATGCATTTGGCCCCCGGGCTGCAGTTTCGATACCACTGGTTTACACGAATGCTATGTACTAAACAACTGACAGAGGGAATAGATATATTTTCCTGTCTGTAACATTTGAAGGACAAGTTAGTCAATGTGTCAACCCTCTTTCTAACCAATTGATATGACCTTCCTTTCCCAAGAAATATATTGGCCTCCCTTTCTATTTCTTTGCCCTGCACCTTAGCAGCCTCATCCTTCCTAAGGACAATAAGGACAGAGTAAGTATTCTGTTAATTACTCAGCAGGAATCTGATATTTCTCTCCAGTCTCTGGCATGTGTTAACCAACACGAAGCCTTCTGTGTCACAACTAATAGATTCCCCTTCTCTTTCAATGCCAGCTCTATTACTATATTTAATATAGTCACGTGAGACCCAACTGACTCTGGTGCTAATCTCCTGGCCTTGAGGCATTGCTAAAATAAATGCAGGGGCTTGGATTCCATGCATCGGATGGGCAGATGAAACAAACAAGTGCATATTAGTCAGCAAGAGAGAAATAATATCTAAGAAAAAGTCTGATAAGTATCTCTGGCTTAATACTCTCTAGATGTGTTTGCTGTAGGTTATATAAATGATTCATAGCAGCCTCACATGTCAGACTTAGATTACCTAAATATTAAACTGTTTTCTACGATGCTCTTCAGATAACACCGTATTATTGAAGACTTTATAAAAAAGGGTACAAAGTTTTGAAAACGTCACTTTTTTTTCCAAGACGAAAACCTTACTGGACATTATGAAGATAAAAAAGACTTTATTACGTTCAGACAGTCAAAGTGGATGAAATGCATTCATTTATTCTTATTTACCTGTAAATATGTATTTATATGTATACAACATATGTAATCATGTCTGCATCTTGACCAAGCAATTTTTTTCCTTGCTATTTTTGGATTGATTTATTTATTTCAGGTACTTGTATAGCGCCGTCAATTTACGCAACGCTTTACATATATATTGTACATTCACATCAGTCCCTAACCCTCAAGGGGCGTACAATCTAAGGTCCCTAACTCACATGGATATATGATAACATTATTACAGTGGGGATCGAAAATTTGGGCACCCCAGCTAAAAAATTTGTATTAATGTGCATAAAGAAGCCAAGGAAAGATGGAAAAATCTCCAAAAGGCATCAAATTACAGATTACACATTCTTATAATATGTCAACAAAAGTTAGATTTTATTTCCATCATTTACACTTTCAAAATAATAGAAAACAAAAAAATGGCGTCTGCAAAAGTTTGGGCACCCTGCAGAATGTATAGCATGCACTGCCCCTCCACTGATACCAACAGTGGGGTTCTATTCCTCCCACTTATAGCAATGGTGGGGCACTATTTCCCCCACTGATACCAATCGTGGGGCACTAGTTCTTCCACTGATCCTTGGCTTCTTTATGCACATTAATACAAATTTTTAGCTGGGGTGCCCAAACTTTCGATCCCCATTGTATATACTATTTTTGTGCACTTGGGTTTTTAAATTACTTGATACTGTGGTTTGCTATACATGTGCACCAAGAATGTGAAACTATTTAAGGCTCCATTCACACCAGGTACGGTGGGACTGTGTTGGGTGGCAATTCCAGCACAATCCCACTGAATCTCCACTGCAAAACATGGCTAAATGCCTTTGTTTTCTGTGTGGCCAGTTCACACTGCTGCATTGCAGTGGTGTGCCAGCGATCAGAGGCATGGCTTTAAGCCTATGAGACCGATGCAAACGTTGATCTGAACCACCCTCGCTACCACCTGCCACAGGTGGGCCCTCTGACTTCCAGATTCACATACAAGCCCACTGCTGTCACTTGGAAGCTGCCTGCCTGCCCCAACTTTCTGTCCACATGCACGGTTGATCAGAGCTGAGCAGGGTGGGGAGGGGCTGTACTGGGCTGGGTGGGGTGGCTGAGCAGAGTGCGCCGCTGGAGGAAAGGACTTGCCCCATCACCTTGTGTAGATGAAGCCAGAAACTCAGAGGGCATGAGACTGGCTTGGGTGGACCCCTGCCTAGCCAGTCGGGGCCTTCTGAGTTTACTGAATCACCTACGCAGGGTGACACAATAATCCATTTTTCCCAGTAACACAGTGTAAAACCTAATGTGACAGGGATGCTAATATGGGCCCTCTGGAGCATGAGCAGGGCCACCTATGTGACCCCTGAAGCTCTGCGTATGTCGGCAGTGTGCTCTGAAAAAAAAAAGTACAGCGTGCAGTATTATTTTTCAGTGCTGCGCACTCCAGCACACTGGCCACTAAAACTTTATAAAATGTCATTGTGTGACATTTCAATAAAGTTTGTTTTAAAAAGAAAAGTAGACGATGCCCTCTTGACTCTCACTTATCTCCTGACTACGCTTCCAAATTTGCAACAGGTTCTTGAGCGCTTCTCCTTGATTTCGGGTCTCCGTATTAATTTGGATAAGACTGTCGCACTTAATATTACATTGGCCTCAGATTTGGTTTCGCGCCTACAGTCCCACTTCCCTTACAAATGGGCTTCATCTTCTCTTGAATACCTAGGCATTCGTTTGACCCCCACCTATGACTCACTGTTTGCTGCAAATTATTATCCATTTCTTCGCTCAATGTCCTCTCTTATGCACTCCTGGCAATTTCCGCACCTGTCTTGGATAGGGCGGGTTAATTCAGAGAAAATTACCATCTTGTTGAAATTTTTATACTATTTTCGCACCCTCTCAGTACAGGTTCCTCCTCATTTTCTTTGGTTGATTCAGGCGAATATTATGCATTTTATCTAGGCCGATAAACGCCCAGAGTCTCCAGAACTATGCTTTTTGTTCATAGACTCCAGGGTGGTCTTGGGGTACCTAATGTAACTAAGTATTATCAGGCGAGCCAGATTGCCCCACTGTCTATGTTGCACGCTTCCTCAGACGTTCCTCTCTGGGTCCTGCTATCCAGTTGTGCCCCTATTGCAACATGGACGCTTCTTTGGCTTCCCCCTGCCCTACAGCACTGAGTCCGATTTTGCTCCATAGCTTACAAGTGCGGGACTCTGTACGTTACTCCAGTGGCCTGATGTCACCTTTCTTGCCTTTGCTTCCAATTACTAACAACCCTCTCTTCCCACTGGGTTTAGATCAATCAAGGGCATTTGCTTTGTGGGTGGCCAATGGTTTTTTCGTAGGTGCGACACTTTTTGACTTCTCAGTCCTTCCCTACCTGGAATTTTTTTTCGGGAGCACGGGATGTCCCTCCGACAGAATGTTTTTGTTACCTTCAATTGCGGCATTGGCTGATCTCATTGTGGGACACTTCTGCTTTCCCGTACCAGAAATTTGCCTTTGAACTGCTTTGCCAACAGCGTTCAGGTGCTGCAGGCCTTATTTCCCTTCTTTATGCAGCTTTGAACAAGGGCACGACGCATACTTCTCTTTCATATGTTGTTTAGTGGGAGCGTGACCTGGGGGCAGTCGTGGATCTGGAGGACTGAAATAGGGGCCTGGTCATTTATAGCTAATTATTCATTTAATACGAACACGCTGGAAGCGGCATACAAAGTATTGTTTAGTTGGTATTGGGTTCCGGCTCGCTTTCGGGGTTGTGGCTATCATGGTGATGTATTGCATATCTGGTGGTCATGCCCAAGACTGCTTCGTTTTTGGTCTCGTGTGTTTGGCCTCCTTTTCACCTTGTTCCATCTCTCTATACGACGGGATGCTCGATATGCTTTGCTTCATTGTCCCATATCGGGCCTCTTGGCTCATCAGCAGAAGTTGGCTTCCTCTTTGTTTTTGTCGGCCACTAGAACAATTGCTCAGGCCTGGAAGAGCCCGTTTGTTTCTCTTCAGGGGGTGCTGAACCGTATGACCACTATGATGTTCAATGAACAGATGTTGAGTATCTGCAACGACTCCCAATGTAAATTCTTGAAAATATGGGAGCCGTGGTTGCAATATGCTTTTCCCACGCTACCCCCCGTAGTCTTGGGATGTGATGTTGTTCGGTATTGTAGTACTTGGATCCCTGCTCTTGGTTTCGTTATCTTTTTTCTTTTGTATTCCTTCCTTTTTTTGGTTTGTTTTTGGTGTGGCAGTAGATAGCTGCCTTTAGTTTGAGTTACTATCTTAGTTATACTAAGTTTTTGTTATTTAAGTGCCATTGACACCTTTTGCTCTGTTGGTGTTAGAGCACTGATTTTTCTAATTTTCTAATTTTTTATGTGCAATTGATTTGTTGCTCCTGTGTTAAACTGTTACAAACTAATAAAAACCATTGAAATACAAAAAGAAAAGTAAACAGCATGATGCATCAGGAACAGCGCATCAGCACTGTCTTCACAGCAATGCACACCAGGCAATAAGTTGCAATGCAATGACTGGTGTTAATGGACCTCAATAATAACAACAATATTTATAATATTCTTACCAGTAATAACAATGATAGCAATAATAAAGCAGCTATTAAAATCATATATATTATTATTATTATAATACAGGATTTATATAGCGTCAACAGTTTGCTCAGCACTTTACTATATAACGGGAGACAATACAGCAACAATACAGTTCAATACAAGAGGGATAGGAGCTTACAATCTAGAATATACTTATATATATATATATATATATATATATATATATATATATATCAGGGGTGGACTGATCATTTGGAAACTCGGGCACTGCCCGAGGGGCCCGGGGTCAGTAGGGGCCCCATGAGATGCCCCTGGTACCTTTTTCATAGGCTTTTTTGAGTTTGGCCAAGGACACAGGGGCCCCATGATCCCCTATTGCCTGGGGGCCCCATGAGTTGTCAGTCCGCCCCTGATATATATATATATATATATATATATATATATACAGTATATCCAATCCCTCCACTGGGTTCCGCTCACCTAAAGAATTAAATTAAAAATATTAACAAAGACGTAGATTATAAAGCCATCCACAACTCTGCCCCCAGCTACATCACTGACCTAGTCTCAAAATACCAACCTATTCCTTCCTTTCAAGACCTCGTACTCTCTAGCTCTCTTGTCTCCTCCTCCCATGTTCGCCTCCATTACTCTCCCTGAGCTTCTTCCTTCCTCTGAAACTTCCTACCCCAATCTGTCCAACTATCTCTTACTTTTAGACAATCCCTGAAAACCCTTTTCTTCAGAGAGACCTACCCTGCCTCCACCTAATAACTATTCTTCTATTTTCTTCCATCAGCTCATCCCCCACAGTTATTACCTTTGTATGTCCTGCCCCCCCCCCCCCCCCCAGATTGTAAACTCTGTTGTGCAGGGCCCTTTGATTCCTACTGTATTAAATTGTATTGTAATAGTACTGTCTACCCTTATGTTGTACAGTGCTACATAAACTGTTGGTGCCAGGGGCGGACTGACCATTTGGAAACTCGGGCACTGCCCGAGGGCCCGGGGGTCAGTAGAGGGCCCCATGAGATGCCCCTGGTACCTTTTTCATAGGCTTTTTTTGAGTTTGGGCAAGGACACAGGGGCCCCATGATCCCTATTGCCCGGGGGCCCCATGAGTTGTCAGTCCGCCCCTGGTTGGTGCTATATAAATTCTGTATTATTATTATATATATATACAAACAGGTGTATATCTTGAAATAGTACTTAAGTAATTTTCCATCTTGCTATTTTTGGATACATGATGATACCATATTTATATACTCTTGTTATTCTTGTGTGCCCAGGTTTTAAAACTACTCAATACTATGGCTTGCTACGTATTTGCACCCAGGCTTATTAAACTATGTAATACTAATAATAATAATAATAATAAAAGCACAGCAATAAAATAATATCCTAAGTGTTACCATTTCCATGCAGTATGGTACACCTTATTTATAATGCAGCAGAAAGAGACAGCATACACCAGCGTAAACTGAATGAAATTATGAGACCATAGCATGATTGTGATCTGGCTGTCAGCGAGACTCAAGGTCACTGCTTGTTTTACGTGGCTAAATAGCCAACAGCCAACTTTATCTTATGACACAATAATACTCTATCAAGTAAGCTGCCTTAAGAATGATGTGGTGTTTTAGTGCAAGGTTTCAGCTAACTAGCTGAGCCAAAGAATTCAACACCCTCCCTACGGCTGACATTGGAAGGTCAAAGGGTAGAGTTAGCTAACAGGACTGATTCAGTGGCTGTGTGAGAGGACTGGAAGCCATCTCATGAGCTATTTGTTCTTGTTGACCCTTGGTTCCCATAAAAATCAGCCTAAATGTGGCAATTTGAGTTGAAATACTTTGATACAAGCATTTTATTTTGTTGTCACTAAAAATGGGGACAGTAGCCCAAAGGGCACTCAACTCCTGGTTAAGAATCTCCTTAGGGATCTTGTGCAGCGCTGACCCAGTTCTACCCATCTCTGTTTAACATGCCATAGGATAAAAATTCACTAGGGTGGATGTTTGTTGAGATAAATTTCACTGTCTGTCTTTTCAGATCTACGTCAGGCAACAGCTATCACCTTCACACTAACAATATCCTTTAGTAAACGATAAAGTCAAGTCAAAAAGGAAACCTAGACGTATTATCAGCAAGTCTACGCTATCCACTTTCACTGTTTACTTGCCAGCAATGCATCCCTTCACTACACAAAGATTCTGAGAACAAAAAACATGGATGCCAGGAGAAAGAAAGCATGAGAGAGAGATTCTTAGGTGGCCGAGGGATTCATATTGCCTATAAATGTGTAACTGACAAATAAAAATACACATGCTGTATTGTTAGCGTGACAGCATATAGACCAATTGATTAAAAACAATACAACAATTCAATGATAGTGGGACTTTTTAGGCACAATAACCCTATTAAAGTTCCAAAATAGATTTTATTTAGCACTAAGCACTAGGGTCGTCGATTTAAATCCCAACCACGGCACTACCTGCTTGAAGTTTGCATGACCTTCAATATTGTGATGATTGCATATGTGGGATTGATCTGATGCATTTCACAATCTTCCACAGGGGCAGGAGCAGAGTGTTTATCTGTAAGAAACATATTATAATACAGTTACTGCTTAGCACATAATTGATAGATACAGTGATCAACCTTAACATTATCACCACTGACAGGTGAAGTGAATAATATTTATTATCTCATTACAATGGCATCTGAAAGTGGGTGGGATATATTGGGCAGCAAGTGAACTTGTCCCATTGCATTGAAAGCTTGAAAAATGGGCAAGCATAAGGACTTGAGGGACTTTGACAAGGGCTAAATTGTAATGGCTAGATGACTGGGTCAGAGCAATTCCAAAACTGCAGCTCTTGTGGGATGTTCCTGGTCTGCAGTGATCAGGACCAACCAGAAGTGGTCCAAGGAAGGAAAACCAGCAAACCGGTGTCAAGATCATAGACAGTCAAAGCTCATTGATGCACGTGAGGAGCGAAGGCTGGCCCATGCAATGTGATCCAAAAGCTACTGTAGCTCGATTGATGAAAAAGGTAATGGTGGTTCTGATAGAAAGTTGTCAGAACACACAGTGCATTGCAGCTTGTTGTGTATGGAGCTGCATAGCCACAGACTGGTCAGGGTGACCATGCTGACCCATGTCCACAACCACAAGGTCTTACAATGGGCATGTGAGCATTAGAACTGGGACACATAACAATGGAATAAGGTGTCTTTGAGATGTTGATTTGGCTTCTAAATTCTCCAGATCTGTATCCAACTGAGCATCTGTGGGATGTGCTGGAAAACAAGTCCGATCCATGGAGACCCCATCTTACAGCTTACAGGACTTAAAGCATTACTAAAGGCTCTTTTTTTTTTATTAATATAACAAACATGCTTTATTTACCTGCTACTCTTCTCGAGACCCCCACTTGTGCTTTCTGCTACTCCTCTTCAGTGTCTGCTCACATACAAGCGTTTTCTATAGGAGCAGATGTGCGGGCTCACTTTCAGCCCGAGCTTTGTGTGCCCCGTCCTCTGCTCCATTTCTGAATTTGATTGACAGCAGCAGCAGCAAAGCAAAATGGATGGAGGGATCCTCCCCACCATGCTATTGTGTTCTGACAACAGGAACTCATCTACTGTCAGAATACACTGATCAGCATTGCAGTCAATCGCTGCAGCCACTGATTTAATGAAAATTCCAACATTCCAGTTAGACAGAAGACAACTTCTATCGAATGGGAATGGCCATAGAATCAAATTCACCTGGTCCCTTCTGAATTTTTACCCATTGATGGCCAACTTGAATATATCTGTCATGCTTTGGAAAATTGTTCACATTAGGGTGGAGTGGCTGACCAGAGCTGGTTAAGGAAGTAGGGCAGATGGTGGCAGACACCACAGAGTTGACATAGAATGTTCAGCATGCCTAATCAAAGGTAGCACCTGAATTCCTAGTGGTGGAGATGTTATGCTGCAGGTGATATTCAGGCTGTGGTCCTCTGACCCACCCAAGCAGGCCATAAGTATGCTGATGAAGCTCCTTTGCAGCACTGGACCCACAAGGCTGCTTGCAACACAGGAGAATCAGCAAGGGAGTATGGAATTGCACGCAGACACAAGTCTTGCTGAAACTCACAGGGGCACATGAGACCACAAGGTTAGAAGCAGGCTGGGAAACACAGGGAACACAAGGCTGGAAGATGGTTGAGACACACTGGGAACCCAAGGCTGTAAGCAGGCTTGGACACACTGGGAACTCAAGAAGGAGGTTGGACACACTAGGAGCTAAAGGCTGGGACACACTGAGAACACAAGGCTGGAAGCAGGCTTGGACACACACACAAGGCTGGAAGCAGGCTGGATACTCAAGAAGCAGGTTGGGACACACTAGGAGCTAAAGGCTGGGACACACTGAGAACACAAGGCTGGAAGCAAGATGGGATACACTGAGTACACAAGGCTGGAAGCAGGCTTGGACACACTGGATACTCAAGAAGCATATTGGGACACACTGGGAACACAAGGCTGGAAGCAGGCTGAGACACACTGGGAACCCAAGGCTGGAATCAGGCTAGTAGACACCAGGAACACAAGGCTGGAAGCAGGTTGGGACACACTGGGATCCCAAGGCTGGAATCAGGCTAGTAGACACTGGGAACACAAGGCCTGAAGCAGGTTGGGACACACTGGGAACACAAGGCTGGAAGCAGGCTGGGACAAACTGGGAACTCAAGAAGCAGGTTAGACACACTAAGAATACAAGGCTGGAAACAGGCTGGGACATACTGGGAACACAAGGCTTGAAGCAGGCTGGTACACACTGGAAATACAAAGCTGGCAGCAGGTTGAGTCACACTAGGAGCCGAAGGCTGGAAGCAGGCCAGAAGACACTGGGAATCCAAAGCTGGAAGCAGGTTGGGACACACTGGGAACACAAGACTGGAAGCAGGTTGGGACACACTGGGAACAAACGGCTGGAAACAGGTTGGGACACACTGTGAATACAAGGTTGGAAGCAGGCTGAGACACACTGGGAATACAAGGCTGAACACAGGCTGGAACACACTGGGAACCCAAGGCTGGAAGCAGGTTGGGACACCCTGGGAACACAAGGCTGGAAACAGGCTGGGATACCCTGGAAATATAAGGCTGGAAACAGGCTGGGACACACTTGGAACACAAGGCTGGAAACAGGCTGGGGCATGCTGGGAACACAAGTCTGGAAGCAGGTAGGGACACCCTAGGAATACAAGGCTGGAAACAGGCTGGGACACCGTGAGAACACAAGACTCTAGAAACTGGAGACAGACTAGGACACACTGAAGACTTTGGGGAATGCTGGGGATCACTGGATGCACAGGAAAACACTGTAAGAGAACACAGGGAGGTCTGGACATGTTGCTCAAACACTGAGCAACCCACACACTCATCTGTGAGAGGCTGGAAGCTGGTGATTGAGCACAGAGGGGAAAAAAACAGCGCAGGAGCATGGAACATATCCAACAGAGTTTGCTTTACAATGTCTTCCACCCCAAGGTTTATCCCACTTTTTGAATAACAGTGGATATCTTCTTCAAATCAAATGTATGAACTAAAATGTCTGTCATGATAGCTTGTCTGACAGTGGAATAGTAAGGACACATGTAAGTACATGTAAACTATACTGTAGGGGCTTGTAGCATAATATAGATAGAACAATCCATTTAGCAGAAGGAACATGTAATGGTGGCTCATGTATTTAAAAAAATATTAAAAGCATTTGTGTTCCTTGGATCGAGAGAAATTTTTAAATCCCCCAAAAATTGTAAGTGGTCTTTACACAAAAACAATATGATGATTGATAGTATGCACAATACTGTCTGCAGCATGGTGTCCAAAGTAGAGTGACATAATACACAGTGAAAAACCTATGTAGCACCCTCCTAGTTAGATTGCTAGTAGCCATGAGGCCAATTTAGTTTTTGGCTCCT